CTCCCTCCCTCCCTCCCTCTACTCTCCCTCCCTCCCTCTACTCTCTCTCTCTCTCTCTCCCTCCCTCTACTCTCTCTCTCTCTCTCCCTCCCTCTACTCTCTCTCTCTCTCTCCCTCCCTCTCTCCCTCCCCACCAAAAAAAAATAAAAAGTGTTATTTTTTGAGCTTTGTTGATTTATTATGTGTTTGCCACTGGGGTTTTTTTTTTACAGTCCCCTCACCCCCCTCACCCCCTCAGTCTCCCCTCTCTCACACACAACAAAATAGGACTTCTATGGCTGTGGTTGGCTCAGGTCCTGTTTGTACATCCCTGGAAGCTGAAGCCCCGATGGATTGCGGGGTATCCCCGAGGCGGTGTGGGGGCTCTGTGTGGAGATGCCCTGTCCCTGTCAGCACTGACTGTGTTGGAGCAGCCACATGGCTCTTGAGTGAAACCAACTTCCTCAATTGGGTGGGAACGGACCCCCCCCCTCCCACCCACCAATGACGCACTTGACACGGACACCACAGCCGAGCCAATAGGAGGGATCGTCCAACCCCCTGGGATGTACGTCACGGAACTCGTTGTCCAATCACCGGGAGGGAGGGAGAGAGGGTTAGGGTGTGGGGGGGGTGTTGGGGTGTGGGGGGGGTGTGGGGGGGTTGGGGTGTGGGGGGGGGGTTGGGGTTGGGGTGTGGGAGGGGGTGTGGGGGGGTTGGGGTTGGGGTGTGGGGGGTTTGGGGTTGTGGGGGGGGGTTGGGGTTGGGGTGTGGGGGGGGTTGGGGTTGGGGTGGAGGCGTCTTGGCTTGAAATGGTCAAGAGCTGCCAGACTTCCATACAGTGGCCGGAGGTCTGAAGGTCCCCCTCTGGTCTCTGGCAGTTTAGCCCTTAACAAAAATGGGACATCACTTTAAGCGTCAACGCATCGAGAAATTCTGGCTTTATTTTCCACTCGAGGGGGACACTCGCTGCTGCGCGCCATCGGCGGCCGTGCCTCGCCCACAAATATACCTTACAGTCTGTTCTGTGAAGCGCTTTGAGAGGTCTCGAAGCCGTGAAAAAGCGCCGTATCAAATGCGCGGATTATTTTACTTCTCATGTTCGCCCACAAAACACGCAGTCACTACACTTTACAGTATATCTTGCGAATCTCTTAAGATATCTCAGGCGGTATATATCAAACGCTAGGATTATTATCATTTATTTTTTTAAAAAGCAAATAAGTGTTATCATAACGTTAAGACCAAATTTAAGAATTTTACGCGGTTCCACCTGATCTTACACTTTAAGACGTGTTCTCGCAGTCTCTGAGTTTTTAAACTGACAGTGTATTTCTCACACTCTTAAACTTGGGAACATTGTATTTAACATTCAACGTGGAATTTTGGGGTAACCAGCTGTCAAATTAAATTTAAGACATTTTTTTTCTTCTCACTCAGCTCATGTTAACCCTTGCAAGACAAGTGATTCAAGTGGGTAGGATGGCCCCAGCTGGACAAACAGTGGGAAGCTCACCAGACAATGTGCTATGAGCGGCAAGCTACGCGATTATAGCTGGTTAAACTCCCATCAGCTACTCCCGATGCCCATTCTGGGGGTCCCCAAACCAATCTGCGCCTAAAACTCTCCAGAATTAGGTGAGCAGGGCATTCCATTTCAGACCCATGGAAATTTCCTCTGTGTGTATGGCATACATTTATTTATATATATCTATATATATAGCCCACAAAATACACAGTTAATTCACTTTACTGTGATGCGCTTTGAGACGTCTCAAAGACATGATAAGGTGCAATATTGAAAATTATATTGTTATCATATTACAGAAATAAAGACGTCAGTGGGAGGGATATTCCTGAAATTAACCCGAAAAGGTCTGATTATCCGAGGATACAGGCGGGTGGGCGATGCAGCCAGTTAGACCCTGGTCAGGTTTGTTACCCTGATTGGTGGGGAAGTGGCAGTCACTAGTGATTTAGCATCCACAGGTTAGGTCCATATACCTGGGTTCTGGCCGGTCCATATCTTCCACAAACATTAAATAAAAACCACCCGCCTCCCTTTAACACTGCAGCTGGTGATGTTTTGCTATCAACTGATGTCAGACCAGTAAATGCTACAAATAACATACTCGGTGTGTGGTGGGTTGGGAGGAGGGAAGGGGATTATTTCACATATAATATCGCCACCAGCCCCAACCACCCCCCCCCCCCCCCCCCCTTCGAATGAGATGCTGTTTTTCACCCTCTTTCCTCCTCCCCCGAAATATGTCTCACACAAACACGCAGAGAAACACAGACACACTGAGTGACCACCAAGCTATTTGTTTTCAGATTGCAACTGAAGTTTAGTGGAATGAGACAGATCATAAAAGCAACACTCCCTCCAGTGAGTTTGTACGTTGGGAGAGCTGACCGTGTAATGAGGGGGTTTATCAGGGGTGGGGAGAGAGAGAGAGGGTGGGGGGGGCAAATAAGGGAAAGAGAGGGGGAAGAAGGAGGGGGGAAAGAGTGAGAGGGGGGAAAATACAGAGAGGAAAGAGAGAGGGGGGGGGAAGAAAGAGGGGGGAAAGAGAGAGAGGGGGGGAAGAGAGAGGGGGTGAAGAGAGGGGAGGGGGAAAGGGGGCAGCAAAGTGTGCTGACATGCGCATAAAAATCCACAATTTGGGGGCGCAGTTCCGAGCCCCCTCCTCCCCTTCACCTTCAGAAAGCGCAGACTTGAAAACCAAATGTTATACTATTTTTTTCCCCTAAAAAACACAATGTTAAAAACATCATTTTTTTCACAAATCTAACAATTTCCTGTTAGTGAATTAATTCCATCTGCAATTGCAAATGGTCCCGTTCGGGAGCATTGCTGAAATCAGAACCTCCCTCAAAACAGAGATGGACAAATTGAACTTTTTGGTGTCTTCACCCTTTTGAATGATCTTTTACACCGTGGGATGTCTTATAATAATCCTTGCGTTTCATGTAGCACCTTATCACGTTATCAAGTCGTCTCAAAGCGCTTCACAGAATATATTGTATATATAAATAGTGTGACTGTGTATTTTGTGGGGGCAAATGCTGGAACCAATTGTGCACAGAAGTGTCCCACAAACAGTCGTGGATTGACTGACCAAATTATTATTATTATTAGTGAGTGAATATTACCCCCGGAAAGCGATCCGCCAATCAACTAACAAAGTTCCTACTTACTACTAAGTAAATAGAGGTGTGTGGAGTAAGGAAACTTGCCGTAAAAGGCACCAAAAGGCAGTCAGAGAGACACACAAGAAATTATAGTGTCTCTTCTGAAGACTTATCCATGAATTCCACCCCCCCCCCCACGCACACATACCCCACATCATCCTTACAAAAGAAGCAGAGGTGACTTTTTGCCAAAATAAATTGTTGTTCCTCCCTTTTGCTGGACATGATATTTTATGTTGCAAATCCACACACGTAAATATCAGTGTCACTTATAATAATAATCCTTGCATTTGATATAGGGCCTTATCGTGTCTTCGAGACGTCTCAATGCGCTTCACAGAATATGTAGTAAAGTATATTTTGTGGACGAAACGCGGCAGTCGATTGCGCGCAGCAGTGTCCCACAAACAGTCGTGGATTGAGTGACCAAATTTTTATTATTTTTCTCAGTGTAATATGTAGCTAAGAGTTTGCTCAGCAATCAGAGGAGCTGATCCCATTACACACAATGGAAGTTTCTCTACAGTTGCAACTCGAAAGCAAAAATTCGATGTTAAGGGACATTAATAATAATTAATAATGTTAAGGGATATTATGTAACATGTTACATAATACAAAACGCTGTGATACCATTACAATGTAAAATAAGGCTAAAATAAATTATTTAAAAAAAATAATAGGGGTAACTGAAAAATAAGACTTTCTGTGCACCAAAACTACACGTTGAGAAAATAAACTTTAACGCTTCTGAAACTCCCCCTCCTCTACCCCGGGCTTTTAACCTTATACATGAGCCAGAAAAGGGGGCTGGTGTGCAACATGTTGGGGGACATAAGAGGTATTTTTTTAAAAAAACCTGAGATACAATCACATGGCCATCAAATCCACTGAGATGGAAGTAAACACAACATCTTGTGCGGCTGAGGCTGTGGTGCAGATATTACTGATGGGCACTTTTCTATCAAACTTCTCGCATCTGAACCTTCATTCATTCTCTCTATTTCTTTTGTGGTCAACTTTTGTTAAAATGCAGCCCACTTTTTTTTTCTCGCACACGTTTAACACCTCGATCTCCCTGTCCTGTGCTGTCTCCCTCACCCACCCACCCACCCACTATGTGCATTCATTAATTTAATGCAGCCCCCAGTTTGTGTTGCAGAAGGAACCGACAGCTCATTTTAATTCAGACCCTTCCCCTCCCGATGGTTAGACCATTTCCTTTTACAAGTGAAATGCACACACAAAACCAAATGTTTCACATCTGTTACCTTATTTTTTTGGGGGAGGGGGTCTCTCCTTTTCTCTCTCTGTCTCTCCCCCTCTGTGTGTGTGTGTGTGTGTGTCTCTCTCTCTCTGTGTGAGGTTAGAATTTGCATGAAAATACCTGGTCAGTGCTTCGATTTCTCTGCAACATCAGCGTTTTTGAGACAAGAACTTCAGCTCAAGAAATCTGCGACCCTCTCGGATGCGCCATATGTTCTGAGGGAAACACACAAAAGGTGGGTGGAGAGTGAACAAATCGCTCCCACTCCGCAATCTTCATTCTTTTTTAAAGGGGGGAAAAAAAAGTGGATCCTGGGGTCGAATTGTGAGAATCAACATCCGATCTCAATCTCACAAAGTTTCCTGTTTTGCCCAACTTTTTTTCCCCAAAAATAAATACAATTCAGCCCCAATTACTGCCTACATTCACTCCCCCTCTCCCTCTCTCTCTCTCTCGCTCTCCTGTCTGTACAATTGTATCATTTAAACACCCGATTCGGTGCTTTATATGTGTCTGAATTTAACACCCGACTCGGTAAGTGCTGTAATGATAACGACGCTCT